GTCCATTTATTTCCCAAATGTTTTGTGTAGTTTACCCTGCAGTTATCTAGATAAAATGGTAATGGGTCCCTCTGGAGAAGACTAGGAGTAAGCCCCCGACAGGATACCTGGCCACCTTTATTCAGTAGGCTCTGAATCCATCAACTAGCTCAGACGCAGCAATAGACTGCAAGGCTGCATTCCTACCTTGATAACATCTGTCTGCAAATCTGGAGAAATTTTAGTTACATAGATCAGGTAGGTCTTTGGTGATATCCATTTATCTGGAACTCTATCCCCAATTACCTCAATAATCCATTCCGAATACCATAAATTAAAGGTGGATTTCATTGTTAAATTGTGATTGGAAACATCACAATTCCACTGAAAATAAGAAATAAACTTCACCTACTAAATTATGTTTTAATGAGTATAGTATTTTTGTAACAAAGAAATGTCTTCAGATTCTTGCCAGGGATAAACTGGAAAAAGGATGATATATTTGGTAATCTGTCCCCTGAATTCCTTTCAGATTTCTTTTTCTTTTCTTTCTTTCTTTTGGTACCAGGGATTGAACCCAGAGTGCTTAACCACTGAGCCACATCTCCAGCCCTTTTTATTTTTTATTTTGAGACAGGATCTCACTAAGTCACCCAGGCTGGCCTTGATCTTGTGATTCTCTTGCCTCAGCCTCCCAAGTGGCTGGGATTACAGATCTGTGCTACCACGCCTGGCTTGTTTTTCCAAGATTGTCATGACTGTTCTAGATTCCTTGCTTTTCCACATATATTTTATTTTTTCAAAAGTATTTATTTTTTACTTATAGGTGGAAACAATGTCTTTATTTACTTTATGTGGTGCTGAGGATCAAACCCAGTGCCTCACCATGCTAGGCGAGGGCTCTACATCTGAGCCACAACCCCAGCCCTCCACATAGATTTTAGAATCAGCTTATCAGTTTTCACCAAAAGAGCCTGCTGGACATTTTGTATTCATCCATCATGTATCCCTGAAGTTCTACAAATTTTTGCTTTATTTATTTTGAGACTTTAAAAATACTTATTTGTTCAGAATTCCTCTATTTTCTTTTAATAATTAATCCTGTTTCTAATAAAGCTTTCTGTCTTAAAGTTTATTTGCATATATAAATGGTGATTTAGATATGAATGATCCCTGTTTACTTTAGATTAGTGTTTGCCTGATTTTGCTCATCTCATTCATTTAAACATTTTCCTGTGCTTATGTTTCAGGGAAGAAACTAAGCAACTTACTAAAGCAACTTTCAAAGGGCAGACAGAACTTCAGGTGAAGAGGTGATCTTAGAAGGAAGGTCTGAGATGGCAGGAGTGGATTTTACCACTGAACTACACACATCCTTGTCCCCAGGAGTGGATTTTAAAGGTCCATCTGACAATCTCGATACTTTAACTGTATTTATTCCATTGATATTTTTAAGTTATGCATTTAATTTGTTTCAAACAACATTGCTTTTAATTCTAATTATTCCATTTTTCAGTGCTTTTAAAATTTTTTTGTTCTTACCTCATCTTTTTCTTGGGGGAAGGCAGACGGTAGATATTTTTTGAATTTTGTTATTCCAGTGTTTTCCTCTTTATTGGTTTGGAATTTGCACACTCTGTTTCTATTCTTATGAGCAACTCTTAAAAATCTTACCATTTTATTTAATAGGCCCTTTTCCTCTACTTTTCCAATTACTTCAAATCAATCTTCAGCCAACCATAAACTGGCTTCTGGCCCTACAACTTCATTGAAATTACTTTTGCAGAAGTTTTCAGATGCTGAATAGTTCTTTGAATAATCCTTTTTCATGGGATGCCCTTGCTGATTTGACACTTGTGGTCATCTCTCCTTCTAGATACTGTAGTAGGGTTCTTTGGCATTTCCATGACTGACTGTTTCTCCTCATCCTCATTCTATCTGCTCTCCTTTTTGAGCCTTTCCTCCTTAACTCTTATTAAAAATAAATTATCCCCAAGATTCTGTCCCCAGCTCATTGCTCTTATTTCACAAATCCATTCTCTGATCCCATCCCATGGCATCAGTTACCACCTGGATGGGGTTAACTCCCAAATTAATTCCTCTGGCCAAACCACTTCCTTGAAGCTCAGATTCTAAATCCAGTTCTTTAACCCAAATTCAGCATGCCTAAAACCAAACCTCTTACCACCCACTTCTCCTATAAATTCTTTTACTCAGATTTCTTTGATTCTTCCTTTTCCTCCACCCCACATCTCACCCGTTACTGAGACCTTCCAACTCCACCTCTTAGAGCATCTTTCTGGTTGCTTTCCTCAAATAGCATTCTATTCTTAGATAATTCAGAAAAATGGATTCCATGACAAAATGAATGTTGGTGAATGCTAGAAAACCACAAAAAAACTGTCTTTATCACAAGACTTTTTCAGAGCCCTTTTTATGTAGATATTATATTCTAGATATACAAGAGGTGATATTATGTATTCTCACCCAGGCTTGCTTTAGCATTTCTAAGGCACACCTAGAAGAATCTCACGTGTCTCATAATCGGTCAGGAATTGCTGCTGTAAGTCACTTCATTCTCCCCTACCCCCATGATCATGGCCCTTGTTAAGCTACTACCATCTCTGGTTCTGACTCTGGTCTACTTTCCTCAAACATATTGATCACAGCAGTGCAAGAGTGAGCTATTTAGAACTCAAATCTACCATGTCACCTCACTGTTCATACTTCAGGTAAAATTCCTTCTTAGGGTTTAGAAAGTATTCCATGATTTGGCCCAACTCCTCCTGTCCCACTTTACACCCCAGATTTACATCAACCTTAGAAATTAGTAAACTGCTTATACTCCCCAAAATGGTCTATGTTCTTGGAGTTCTTTCTTTGTTCACATAGTACTATCCGGAATAGTCTTCTTACCCTCAATGGTTAACCATTCTTTCTCCCTTTGACACTCAAGTTGAGTTGGGCACGGTGGTGCATACCTATAATCCCAGTTACTCCAGAGGCTGAGGCAGGAGGATCATCAAGTTTGAGGACAGCCTCAGCAATTTAGTAAGAACCTGTCTCAAAATAAAATAAAAAGGGATGGGGAGGCCCCAGGTTTGACTACCAGCACCACAAAAACAAACAAAAACACATTCACTTAGCTCAAGTGACACAGTTCTTAGGAAGGTTTCCCTAACTGCTGCTCTTCCTTAGCTCTCATAATCCACTGTGTAAGTAATTATAAATTTGTTGCTCCATGAGACCATTGGCTTCTTAAGAGTAGGGGCTATGCCAGATTCAGTTTGTTTTTCTTAACTACTCTTCTGAAATACTAAAAGCTGATAGCCTATGACAGTCCTTTTCTGTTCTTGCCATTTTTGAGGCAAATGCATCTGCTTTCCTGGCTTTCCATGCCATCCATATGCTGATGGCTCCCAAACCTATGCTTCTAATTTCTGACACGTTCACATTTATCCTGCTCTTTTTCTAGATTTCCAGCTCACAGGCTGCTTATTCAGATCTCCGTTCAAATGTAACTTTCTCCTGACTACCCCATCCAAATAGTCCCCATGCACACATTTTCTGAAATAAAATTGATTTACTTGTTCGTTATCCATCTTTCCTAACACACTAGCCCATGCAGTTGGGATATTATTTATTGCTTTCTCTCCAGAGCCCAAGATGGTGTTTTGCATACTGTAAACACTAATCATTGGCTGAATCAATCAATGCCTAATGTAAGTCTGGCACAAAATATTTGCTAATATCTGAGTGTTTACTAACTAAAGGCCCAACAATGTGTTAAATGCACCACAGGGATTACTTCTTTTTCTCTTATGTATTATCATTAGCTCCATTTAGCACTGAGACCCAGGAGTTTAATAGTGGATCCCAAAGAAAGAGGGATCCGAATGCTGGCAGCCTGATCCTGAGCTTCCTCAGCCACTGCTCTATACTCCTGCTTCTATGTGTAAGCACTCAAAAACTGTACTCAAGCTGGACACAGTGGCACACGCCTGTAATCCCAATGACTTGGGAAGCTGAGCCAGGAGGATTGTAAATCGGAGTCCAGCCTCAGCAACTTAACGAGGCCCTAAGCAACTTAGCAAGACCCTCAAAATAAAAAACAAAAAGGGCAGGGGATGTGGCTCAGTGGTTAAGCACCCCTGGGTTCAATCTCTAGTACCAAAAAATAAATAAATAAAACTGTACTCAAACAAAAGGAGGAGAGGAAGGGAGAGCTCATCCTTTCTATTGAGAACAGAAAGAGAATCAATTAGAGGAGGAAATGGACCACAGACCATTTGCTTGCTGTATTTCATACCACTCCAGGGCGAGTTGTTTTTTGTTTTGGGGGTTGTTTTGGTTCTAAGGATTGAACCCAGGGGTGCTTAAACACTTAAGTCATATCCCCAGCCCTTTTTAGTTTTTATTTTGAGACAGGGTCTTGCTAAGTTGCTTAGGGCCTCACTAAATTGCTGAGATTGGCTTTGAACTCTTAATCTTCCTGCCTTAGCCTCCCGAGCTGCTTGGATTACAGTTGTGTGCCACAGGATGAGTGTTTTGTCTCTAATTCCTGCCACTGGTTCAGAAGTCCAGCCCCTCCTTGTTCTGACAGTTTAGAGAGGGCTGAATTGCCTTTACCAGGCAAGGCTACTGCTTCCTTGGCAGGGAGGAATTCCAACTTGTGATTTAATCACCCAGGCATAGGGAAAGAACAAGGGGCTGGAAAGCCAGATTCTTTAGCAGGCTCTCTAGCGGTTCTTTGGCAGACCCCTGACCAACTACTTCCTCTCCCTGGGACTCAGCTTCTCTATCTGTAGGGGGAAACATGCTCCTAGTTCTGATGTTCTGTGACCCTTGTTCACAATTCTTTGCATTCACTGGAGAGAGAGCCCCTTTCTGACCGCTCAAACCTGGGTAAGTACAAAATTCTTTAAAATACAAGAAGTGAAGGAAGGAACTGCTCCTGGAAAGTAGAAAACCTATGTGGACCTCACCCACCTCCAAGAGTAACACACAGTAACAAGCAAACAGTCCTTCCCTGCAATATTTATTAAGGAATTTACACATACACAGGAGAAAGGCAAACAGGCATTGTGGTTCCCACACATGAAATCCTTTAAGCAAAGTTTTTTTGTTTGAATTTTCAAGTGGGGTGAACAATGGCTGAGAGGAAAGCTGTCCAGGCTCTCTGCCTCACACACTGGGAAACAGGTGGGCAAATAAAATACCTGGATACGCGGGTATGAAAGAGTGACTGGCAGATGGGAGAAGGGAAAGGAGATAGGGAGCTATCGATGAGATGGTAATTTTTTTTTAAATATAAGAAAAACTGGCAACAGTTTTAGACTGTTGATAAATTAACTCCTCTCTGTTATAAACCTAAAACTAACAAACAAAAACAAAAATGCCCAGAGCAGTTAGGGAGAGGGTGGGAGGCGATATCCACATGTACACACACATAAGCAGTGCACAGATTAAGCTCTGCATCCCCACACTGGGGCTGGTCCTCCAGCCATGGAGCCGGATCCTCTGATGGCAGGGAGGAGGCAGCAGGGATGTGCATCTGTATGGGACCTTCATAAAGTCTTTGGTGCTAATAAAGGCTGACTGAAGCAGCGAGTCCTGAAGCCCCAGATCCAGAAAGCAACTCAGGGCAAAGTGGAGTAATATTTTTGCTCATCCACACAGGAAGGGGCTTGCCTCACCCCAAGGCTAGGGTCAACCTGATCCAAGACCCAAGGAGTATTTAATTTGATTGCAGGACTTTTTTCATTCCCATAAAGCATGGGAACATGATACCTCTCTTTAACCAAAACTTTAAACACTTAGAAATAGCTTATTAACACATATAGAAGAATCTCTACACCCTCCCCTTTGCCTAATGCACAATGCCACAGACCTTTCTAAGGGTCTGACAGGAGGTTCAACCTTGAGGGAAGGTACTGAAAAGTGTGCACATTTTCCCTGTGGTTCAAGTGCCTTCTGCCAACAATTTCTAAGGTGCTGGTGCCAGGAAAGGATAGGGGCTGTGGCTGGAGAGGAAGTCAGGATGGCCAGGGGACATGAACAACATAGAGCAACAGAGAGGTCTGCATGTTTGGGAAGTGGCTGGGTTGGACAGGATGCCAAACCCCAAATGACTTATTGAGCAATTTCTAAATCAAATAGAGAGAGGTAGGAAAAAGGGATGGCGGGGAGGAGAGGTGAGGAAAGAAGGGGGAGAGCAAAGGCTAAGGAAAGTGGCAGCCATACAGGTGTTTTGCTTTTATTTCCACATCTGAGGACTCAGAGTCTGATTTGCTGCCTGTCCATTTCCACCGCTCATTGACTGGCCATAGTTCATCATGCCGTTGGCTCCATAGAAGTTCATCCCAGCCATCTGCTGGGTCATCTGGAAGGGAGAGAGGAGACTTTTCAGACTAGGCTGTGGGCATTCAACCAGTTAGTACAAAAGGCAGGGTAGGAGTCCTTCTGTCTGTGGGGAGGGAGATCGAGACAAAAGGAGACTATTACTGTACACAACTGCCCTGAACCTTAACAGATCACTTCAAGGACACCACATCATGCACATAAAGGACTTATCAGAAGGGTGATGTTGCCAGAGACCAATGCTCAGAAGAGAAAAAAGGGATCCTGGGTCCATCAGCAAAAAAACAGCATAAGAAGCCCTTCTTTTCTCCCTTTCCAGTTCCTTTTCATAACCAAAGGGGCCTGTTAACTGATCAAGGCCAACTCAAAGAGACCAAAGAAAAGCACCCCTTTCAGCGCTCCTGCCTCTTCTCCAGCAGAAAGCAGTTACTGTCAGGTCAGCACTTGAGCATGCTCCTTTGCAGAAGGAAAAATAAACTGTACTGTTCCAAATGAATAAAGGAAGAGGAGTGGAGACCAACACATCTTCAGTGTAGGAGAAGGGAAGGAGCTGAGAGGAGTCATGGGAATGAGGCCTGGGTGGGGCAGGAGCCTCATTATGAATTGGATTTGAAAGATTGGCCCCTGGCCACAAACAGATAAAAACAGTTTGTCAAAGAAAAATGCCTTAAATTTCCTGAGTCTAGTTCATTTTCTAAATAAATTATTTTTCTTTAGGAGAATGTCTATTTTCTTCTACCAACTTTTTAAAGAAAATTTCAAACTTAAAAAAAAAAAAAGTGAGACAATAGTACAAGAAACCCATATGTATCTTCCTTAAACTCATCAATTGTTAACATTTTATTGTATTTTTTCTCTCCCTCTCTGTATGTGTGAGATATATGAATATGTATGTATATAAACAATGTCAAGGAGCATCAAAAGTTGCAGATATCATCATGACATTTCACCCCTCAATAAATCAGGAGGCATCCCATAGGAATGAATGCCTTTCTAGAACCGTAATGTGATTAACACACTCAATAAATTTAACATTTTTTTAATTTAACCCAATACTGTAATGTATACTGCATTTCATTTTCACCTCTTTAGTCTCCTTTAATCTAAAACAGTTCTTCCACCACTCTTTCTTTTTTCCTGACATTGATATTTCAGGAAAGTTATGTTGTAGACTATCTCAATTTGTATTGATCTCATATTTTCTCAAGATTGGGTACAGGTTACATATTTTTTTGGCAAGAATTCTATGTAGGTGATATTGTGTCTTCCTCAGTACAAGATATCAGGAAGCACATGATAATTATTTGTCCTATTATTGGTAATTTTGTTTGATATATTGGCTAAGACATTTTTTAAAATTGTAATTAACAAGGCTCAGTGGAACAGTGCTTGCCCAGCATGTGGGAAGCTGTGGGTTTAATCTCCAGCACCCCCAAAATAAAAGAAAAATGTTCCATATTTTTTTGTAGTGATTACCTATATACTAATACTGTTGTCCTTAATTTCCTTCTCTTTTACTCAAGATTCTATGATTTAGCTTGACAGCTTCCTATATCCTTTGACTTACACCTATTTATCTTTATTTTTATTTTTTTGGTACTGGGGATTCAACTCAGGGGTACTCAACCTATTTTGTATTTTATTTAGAGATCTGGTCTCATTGCGTTGCTTAGCACCTTGCTTTTTGTTGAGGCTGGCTTTGAACTTGTGATCCTCTTGCCTCAGCCTCCTAAGCCACAGGGATTACAGGTATGTGCCACCATGCCCAGCTATATCTATTTATTTTGCAACAATTAATTAACTTAGTCTACTTTCCTTTTTTTCCTCCCTCCTCTATTTGTTTTACTTGTATTATTATGTTTGTCAGAATACAACAAATTTGGGCTGGGGCTGGGGCTCAGCGGTGGAGTGCTTACCCAGCATGAATGAGGCCCTGGGTTCGATCCTCAGCACCATATTGAAAATAAATAAATAAACAAATAAAATAAAGATATTCTGTCCAACTACAACCAAAAAATAATTTTAAAAAAACAATACAACAAATTTTCCTATCCTTATTACTACCCTTGTTTTAGTCTTAGGTTCTTAATAAACATTCAATGCTCATCAACAGTCCTTGTGCCAAAATGTGTCTCCTAGGTGGATGAAGTTCACCTCTGTTAGATTCCTCAGAAAGGCTTGCAAGCACGTTCCCTAAGTTCTTGCATACATATTTTTTTACAGGCTTCACATCTGAAGATAGCTTGACTGGCTGTAAAATACCTATCTCACGTGTACTTGAGTGTCTTGGAGATTCCCTTTGTGGTCCTTTTGAATGTTGCCTTTAAAAATCTGATGTCAACCTGAGTGGTTTGTGTTGTTTGTTTTGTTTTGTTTCCAGGAAGTGATTAAGTTTTGTTGGGAGGGAAGTATGAAAAAGGATAGATTCCTGATATTTTTTCTTGTTCTTTAAAGTCTAAAAGTTTACCGGGATGTTTTAGAGTAGATTATTTGGGGTTAATTTTTCTAGAATCACAGTGAGCCCATTAATGTTATTTACAACTCTATTTCTAGAAAGTTTTCTTGTATTATAGTTTTAAATATATTAATTCTGTCCTGATAAGGTGTCTTCCAAATGTATTTGTGTTAGGCTTTCTTTGCCTACTTTTTTTTTTAACATTTATTTTTTAGTTGTAGATGAACACAAGACCTTTATTTTATTTTGATGTGGTGCTAAGGATCAAACCCAGTGCCTCACGGATGCTATTCCTCTGAGCCACAACCCCAGCCCATCTTTGCCTACTTTCTATAATATACTTTCTCTGATTCTTTTCAAACCCCTTCCTATATTTAGTTTTCATTCTCTTAGCTGTTTTTACATCTTTCTTCAATGTCAAATAGATTTTCATCTGAATTTATTCAATTTATTTCTAAGATAACTCTCTTTTTCTTTGATTTCTTTCCTGAATTCAATAAACTTTCATTTCAAAACTTCTAGTGTTTTGTCCATTTTTGGTTCTAAGTTTTTGAATTTTCAATTCAAGCTGTTTATCTGCAAATGTTTAAGGACATTCTCTTCAGGTTGGTAAACTGCTTAACAATTTTATTCTGCTTAATGACTTTTTTTTTCCCCTCTGAAAAGAGTTGGTACTTAAATGAAATCATAAATACTTTTTTTTGCATTTCTTTTTTTCCCACATTATTATTGGAACATTATCATTGTACACAATGATGAGATTTGTTGTTACATACTCATACGTGCACACAATATAACAATATAATTTGGCCAATGTCACTCCCTAGCACTTCCCCCCTCCTTTCCTGACTTCCACCCCTTGGTTCGTTTCCTCTACTGACCTCCCTTTGATTTTCATGAGATCTACCCCCGGCTTTCTTTTCCTTTTTCCTTTCTAGCTTCCACATATGAGAGAAAACATATGTCTCTTGAGCTTCTGAATATGACTTATTTTGCTTAATATAATAGTCTCTGGTTCCATCCCTTTTCCTGAAAAGAACATAATTTCATTTTTCTTTATGGTGGAATAAAATTCCATTGTTTGTATATATATACCACATTTTCTTTATCCATTCATCTAATGATAGACATCTAGGTAAATTCCATAGTTTGGCTATTATGAATTGTGCTGCTATAAACATGGGTATGATGTATCACACTATACTATGATGACTTTAATTCTTTAGGATAAATACTGAGGACTGGTATAATTGGGTTATGGTGGTTTCATTCTGTAGGTTCTCTCTTCACATTCCTAATTGTTTCCTTTGCTGTGCAGAAGCTTTTTAATTTGATGCTATCTCATTTATTAACTCTTAGCATTATTTTCTGAGCTTTAGGAATCTTATTGAGAAAGTCATTGCCTACGCCTATGTTTAGCTCTATGTTTTCTTTTAGGAGTTGCATAGTTTCTGATCTAATTTCTAAGTCTGATCCATTTTGAGTTGATTTTGGAAAAGGGTGAGAGATAAGAGTCTAGTTTCATTCTTCTACAATATAGATAACCAGTTTTCCCAGCACCATTGTTAAAAGGGCCTTCTTTCTGGGCATGGTGGTGCATGCCTATAATCCCAGTGACTTGGGAGGCTGAGGCAGGAGGATCACGAGTTCAAAGCCAGCCGCAGCAACTTAGCAAAGTCCTTAACAACACAGTGAGACCCTGTCTCTAAATAAAATTTTAAAAAAGGCTGGGATGTGGCACAGTAGTAGAGCACCCTGGGTTCAATTCCTGGTCCCCCCAATAAAGAGGGTCTGTCTTTTCTCCAATGTATGTTTTTGGCACCTTTGTCAATGATCAGATAACTATAGATGTGTAGGTTTGTCTCTGGGATCTTCTATTCTCTATCATTGGTCTGTGTGTCTGCTTTTATCCCAGTACCATGCAGTTGTTACTACAGCTCTGTAGTATAATTTGAAGTCAGGTATTGTGATGCCTCCAGCATTGCTTTTTTGGCTAATAGAATTGCTTTGGCTATCCTGGGTCTTTTATTCTTACAAATGAATTATAGGACTATTTTATTCTAGTTCTGCAAAGAACGTCATTGGTATTTTGATAGGGATTGCATTGAATGTGTATATTGCTTTTGGTAGTATGGCCATTTTAACAGTATTAATTCTGCTTAATGACTTTTTGAAGGGAGAATTTCCATTACCTGAAATGTTTTGATATTTATTTATTTATTTTTAAGTGGAGCTGAGGATCAAACCCAGTGCCTCACATGTGAGGCAAGCACTCTACCACCAAGCTACAGCCCCAGTCCAATGTTTTAAGTTTTGTTTTCTATTTTCAGTAGTTTTGTATAAATGTCATCTGTCATGTTCTGTTATTTTTTAGTGCTTTTTTTTTTTTTTCCAAATCATTGATAAATATAGACAGGTATGAGGATTTAGTAGATTTCTGAGTTCAAGACCACCCTCTTCTGTTAATTAGGAAAATAATCATTTGGGAAGAAGGATGGTATCTCCTGATTTTGTAATTCTCTTTTCCACTTCAAATTTGTTTCTTGCCTTTCACTATCAGGTCTCCAAAGAGTTCCTCCTTCTTCTAAGTCACACCTATCTCTCTGCCATGCAAAACTTTTCCAAGGCTACAACCTATAATCCTATGTATTTCAAATTCCTTATTTTCAATCCCCTCCCCCGCCCAAGAACTGTTCTCAGTACGTCTCCATCAGGGTAGGCCTTTCTCCTCTGAGAGGTGACTTCATCTGCGTTCTGTCACTTATAAGCCCTGCTTCCCTATCCACGTTCTGCAATCTCCTCTGTGATGCTGGCTCTGCAGGATTTCGGTGTTCGATGCTAATGTCATGTCATTGGAAGCCTGTAATAATGGTAGCAATGGACAACAGGTATTTTTATTTTTGTATTGTCTATCCATATAAGTCTTTCTGGTTTTGTTTTTGAGACAGTGTAGACTCAGATTTAGATAGTTACCCTTATTTTATAGGAAATAAGAACTCCTCAGAAAATTTTGACTGTAGGAAGGCAAATCTAAGAATGTCTCTCTGGCATTATCTCGTTTACATGGAAAGCATTCAAGGGATAAGGGAAAGGTGAGAAGTGAGATAGGCTTGAGGAAGGCTCAGAAGTCTGATATCAGATCAAACAGGGAAGCTCACCTGAGTGAGGTTCCATTGCAGCTGCTGAGCTGGCTGAACCCCATACATAGTCTGGGGCATAGCTGCCATTCCTGCCATGTAGCCAGCCTGCTGGGTAGTCATCATCCCATTCGGCACCCCCATCATGGATGCCTGCATGCCACCCATATAGCCTGCAGGCATGGCCATAGGGGCAACCATTCCAGAAGCTCCAGGCTGAGCTACCATGCCGACTGGTGGGGGCATCATGCTCCCCATGATGCTGTTAGGAGGTGTAACCCCAGGGAAGCTGGGGTAAGCTGTGGGATATGCCATCTGAGCAGGAGCCATGAACATTGCTGCCAAGAAAACACACATCACATCTTAAAGAGGAAAGGACACAAAGTTAGCCCACATTCTCACTGGCTACTTTTCCAGTTAGAGTTTTTTAAGACTACTCTCAACTCAGAATGCTGTTATACATAGCAAAGCAGTTAGAGAGATTCTCTACCAGATTTGCTGTGGTTTATCAATGGGGCACTGACCTGGCCACTTCTCCTTAAGAGGCCAAATCCAAGCCTTGACTCAGACTTCACAGAGGTCTGACATCAGAACCCACAAAAGTATGACCCTGAGTTATACGTCTGTTGATACTCTATGCTTTTACAAGTAATGTCAGTTTCAGGCATGTTTCCTATATGATACTCCAATCCCCAAAGCAAGTGTCCCTCATCACAACAAAAAACTCTGCGTGTATATTCTCATATCTCTTCCTTGTACAAAGCTATGACTCCATGGACTCTACCTTGGGCAGGCATTTGAGGCGTTTGGGATCCATATAGTGAGAGGATGGAGTCCTTGGAGAGTTGTTTCTTGCCTATTTCTTCTGACTTGCTCCCTGGCTCCGGAAACAGGTTCAGATTTTCAGGAACAGAACCAGCACTCCCGGCAGTTGGCATGGATCCTACAACCTTAGAGCACAGAGGGTAGGGGGATTGGTGGAATAATCTTCATGGGGGTCTCTATAAGGATCTCCATCATCTTGTGCTGCCTCTATCATTTGCAATAAGAATTCATGGTTAAGGGGCTGGGGTTGTGGCTCAGTGGTAGAGCGCTCATCTAGCACATGCCAGATATTGGGTTCGATCCTCAGCACCACATAAAAGTAAATAAAATAAAGGCAATTGTGTCCAACTATAACTAAAAAAATATTTAAAAAAAAAAGAATTTATGGTTCAGGTTGGGGTTGTAGCTCAGTGGTAGAACACTTGCCTAGCGCATGTGAGACACTGGGTATGATCCTCCACACCACATAAAAATAAATAAATAAAAATAAAGGTATTATGTCCATTTACAATTAAAAATAAAAATATTTTTTTAAAAATTCATGGTTTGTCTAGGTACAGTAGTATACCCCTGTAACCCCAGCTATTTGGAAGGCTCAGGCAGGAGGGTCACAAGTTTGAGACCAGTCTTGGTAACTTAGTGAGATCCTGTCTCAAAATAAAATTTAAAAAGGGGCCAGGCACAGTAGCACATAATCCCAGTGACTCAGGAGGCTAAGGCAAGAAGATTACAAGTTCGAGACCAGCCTCAGAAACTTAGCAAGGCCCTAAGCCACTTAGTGAGACCTTGTCTCAAAATAAAAAATGAAAAAGAAAGACTGGGTATGTGGCTCAGTGGTAAATCACCTCTGGTTCAATCCTTAATGGTCCCCCACCCCAAAATTTAAACAGGGCTGGAAATATGTATGGATTAGTCATAGAACACTTGCTTAACACATGTGGGCCCTGGGTTCAATCCCCAGTACTGTAAATAAAGACAATTCATGGCTCATATCAGACATTTTTACCATAAAAATATGTGAATATACATAATAGCTAAACTCTGGTTCAATCCTTCATTCTTCAGAAAAGCTATGTGATTTAGTAGGAAAAAAACAAAAACAATCCACAAATGATGCTGCACAGACTACTGGGTTTAGATCCATGCAGACACTCACTCATTGCATAACCAGAGGTTAGTCACATAACTTTTCTGAACTAATATTTGTAAATTATCTATTTTGAGGGGTACTGGTAAGGGCTTGAAATTATTAATAAAATATATAAAAATGAGATACATCAAATTCCTGGCTACTCCTTGCATACAATAGGCATTCCACAATGGCAGCCAATAACACATCTACAACACCCTGGCGGGAACTCGGGCTGGAAAGCTGATCTAAAGTATAGCCTTTACAATCTGACAGACCTTTTTTTTTTTTTAGAGAGAGAGAAAGAGAATATCTTTTTTTTTTTTTTTTTGTAGATGGACACAACACAATGCCTTTATTTTTATGTGGTGCTGAGAATCGAACCAGGGTCCCACCCGTACTAGGCGAGTGCTCTACTGCTGAGCCACAATCCCAGCACCGCCCCCCCTTTTAAAAATATTGTTTTAGTTGTCGATTAACATGATATCTTTATTTATTTATTTATTTTTATGTGGTGCTAAGGATCAAACTCAATGCCTCACATATGCAAGGCAGGTGCTCTACCACTGAGCCCCAACCCCAGCCCTCTGACAGACCTTTGATAGAAGCCCACTCAAAGGGCACTCTGTGAGGCAAAAACAAAACAGTATGAACAATGAGTTTAGGCTGTGACAGAGATGATACAGTGTCAAGGGAAGAATTAAGAAAATCAAATTCTTCCAAGAAGTATGGCTTGGTTCTATGATTAAGTTATCACTCTTTCCGGAAAGTCCTTTAATCCTTAGAATCCCAGAAGACTCACCTTTCTGGAAACTGAAGATGGGGATGGAACAGAGGCCAAAAGATCTAAATCCTTCTCTAGTGTATTGCTGGTCTTACTATTTGTAATGGAGCAGGCCACAGGAGCATCTAGAAACAGATCAAAACCAAAATGTAGCACTGCTTACTCCTTCCTGCTATTGCAGACAAGAAGTAGAAAGAGAAGGCCCACAAGCTCTGTCATGGACCTGGAAATCTCGCCTACTGTTAGCTTGGATAGGCCTTCTCAGAGGAGGCCTCCCCCCCATATTTGCAAGAAGGCTATGGGATAAACTCAGGCCTGACTGCTACATCAGTACAAAGGCTAGAGGACTGGCTGGCTCCTTCCTGGCAATTTGAAGAACAGTGTATAGGATTCATTTTCAGAGAAAAATAAAAGGTAAAGAAATTAGAAGCCTAAGTAGCCAATAACCTAAGTCAATAGCAGAAGACTGAAACAAAGTACAGCCATCAGTGTGATGAGAGGCAGGGGAACAGGCTTTCTTTCTGAAAGGGGCAAAATCACTAGATTAATATTTCAAGGGACGAATGGCCACAGAGTAACAGGCAATCTCTGAAACTGGTTGCACCTGAAAAATCAAGGGTGCAGGCAGGGAGTATAAGGGAGGGAGTAGAGTACAAGGAGTAGAGTATAGGGAAGAGGCAAAAGGGTGAAAGGTGTTGTTAAGTGGAACTGCAAACATTTAGTATGTGTCAAGCATAGCACTAAGAGCTTTAGAGGCATTATATCACTTAATCCTTCCAACAACACCTTTGAAGTAGAAACTTACCATCCTCATGGCACGGATTAAGAAAGTAATGTTCAGATGTCACTATTTAAGATTACATACATATGTGTCGGGACTTGGCTCTAAAGCCATGCTTTTAACCACTACACTGTACTGTTGCTCTGAAAAATGTCCCAGTAAACACTTTCTTAAAGCAATGGCTCAAATGTAAAACATAACAGGAAGAACAGGAGAGAACAATCTTAGTGAAGAAGACACAAATGAGAGTCCCATCTCTACCAATCTTCTCAGGGTCAGTCATAGAATTTCATCAAAATATATAAGAATGTGGGGGCTGACAAGTCTGACTCTTACCAAGGCCCAACAAATCCATGACGGGCGCTGTGGATTTGGGGGAACTTTTCCGAGGTAGCTGTGAATCTTCTTTTTTCTGTGGCTAAAGTTAAAATATGTTATAAAAAGAAATCAGCAGGTATTTCTGAACTCTTTTTCCCCCCTCTCCACTATAAAGCCACACATATTCTTGTGGTATAGTTGCTATTTATTCAAAGACAGTTATCAAAGAAACAAAACCCAGGAAGTGCTAGGAAGCTTGAGTGCATAAACCAAACCTGAAGTGAAAATAAAGATATTGTCTATACTTGGTTAGCTTTCTAGAGTTGCAGTTCTTTCTGAAACCAAGACAATCACTGAGCAAGGAATCTAACAGAAGTAGTAGTTTTGGGTCTCAAGAAAAATCAAGGATAAAAGTAGGTATCTGATTATACAACAAATCTTCCAGTGGCTAGAAAATCTTTTAGTTTAACACTAAAGGGAGATCAGTTTAAAGATTACTTAATTCACTCTGCCATTATCACTAGTGACTGTCCACAGACAGTATGATTCACAATGGTGATAAAGAGTCTTCCTTACCCAATAGTAAAAAGTCCTCTCTCCCAAGATTCCAACCTCTTATATTCAGAATATCTACTACTAGAGCCACAGTAGCCATGTGGAAAAGGAAATTAGTGCAGCCTAACTTCTGGACTGCTCCTAAATGCAAAAGGAAAATGAAGCACATGAGGTCTAACAAGGACTACTGTGGAATTAGCATCTGCTCAGAAGCTGTCATGCAGCCATGTCATTCTAGCATGGAACATGACTTGAGCTTAAATAGGACAGATGCAGTTTCCAAGCTGCCATCTAGCTTCCAAGAGAACACTTCAGGCAGCAATAGGTAATGGGCAAGAAGCAGAAATGGCAGCAGGTGATCTGATCTAAATGTGGAACCCCTTATTTCAGGTACAATGATAAAATATGGTATCAAACCCACCTGCCCACCATGAGGCCTCTCCTCCTCCCTCCATATATAAACACACACAAGACCATCACACAGGGCAGGGACTTTCCCACTTACCATTTTCACTTTCTCAAAAACAACAGGTTCCATTTTTTTCTCTGGAGCTGGTTCACTCCCTCTTTTCCACTTGTCATCCTTCTCTTTCTAGAAAGATTTAACAAGATAATGAACATAAGCCCCATGGTGATTCAATAAACTATAATCCTAAATGTTCACAAAGGACAGCAAAAATCCCCAGTGATTCTTTTTTTTTTTGGTACCAGGGATTGAACCCAGGGGCACTCAACCACTGAGCCACATCCCCAGATCTATTTTATATTTTATTGAGAGACAGGATCTTGCTGAGTTGCTTGGGCCCTCACTAAGTTGTTGAGGCTGGCTTTGAACTTGTGATCCTCTTGCTCAGCCTCCCAGATTACAGGTGTGCACCACCACGTCTGCTATCCTAATGATTCTGATGCAAGAGTATGGCAAACTTGGGACTGTGTCTTGGTGTGGAGCTGAGAGTTGACCTCCTCCACATATATTCCAAACATCTTAAACACTCACCCTACTGGTCTGTCTGACCCACCCATGACTCTTGAAATTTGCAGTACAGACTATCTACAGAAGCTTTAAAGTTTGTTGCCCATTTTTGCCCTAAATTTAATTTGCTCATGTTTTGAACAGATCCCCTCATTTTAGTGTACTGGTAAATAAGTTCATGTTCATCTGACTCAGCTTATGCCCTTTGTGATTTTATAAATTCAATTACAGGCCCTGTCAATATTCATTTTTGTTTTTAAAAATGAGAAAACAGACCTAAATTTTAAGATTAAAGATTAGAAAAACAAGAATTAAGGAAACAAGGCAAGAAAGAATTAGGGAATTCTTAAGAAAAAAAAAAAAAAGATTATAGGGTGTCCTGCATGGATTGCCTGTCTAGGGCCAAAAAGCATGTCAAAATAAATATTAGGGCCGGGAACAGTGGTGCATGTCTGTAATCCCAGTGGCCTGGAAGACTAAGGCAGAGGATCGTGAGTTCAAAACCAGCGAGGTGCAAGCAACTCAGTGAGACCCTGTCTCTAAATAAAATACAAAATAGGGCTGGGGATATGGCTCAGTGGCCAAGTGCCTGTGAGTTCAATCCCTGGTACCCACCCCCCCCAAAAAATAAATAAATAAAATATTAGAAAGTCTCTCAGTTTTTGAAGTTTTTCAGAGGCCACTTCATAATACTTTTACGAATTATAAAGTTATTGGTCATATTTCAACAAATAAACACCTAATGGAAAACAGAACCACAAAGTAACCTTAAGAATATAGGCATATTGGGCTGGGCTTGTGGCTCAGTGGTAAAGGGCTTGCCTAGCATGTATAAGGCACTGGGTTCAATCCTCAGTGTCACATAAAAACATAGAGAAATAGTTAAAAAATATTTTTTAAAAAAGAATACAGGCATGTTTATCAAGAATACAAATAATAATGAATGCTGGAGAGGATGTGAAGGAAAAGGAACACTTATACACTGTTAGTAGGATTGTAAATTAGTACAACCACTATGAAAATCTGTATGGAAGCTCCTCATAAGACTAGAAATAGAACCACCATACAACCCAGCTATACCTCCCCTTGGTATTTACCCTAAAGAATTAACATACTACAGTACTACATGCATACCCATGTAGCAGCACAATTCACAATAGCCAAACTATGGGTAAAGAAACCATAATATATGCACATAATCCAGCCGTAAAAAAAGAATAAAATTATGTCATCTTCAGGGAAAATTTATGGAACTTGAGAGCATTATGCTAAGTAAAATGAAGTGAAACTAGAACGCTTACACCATGCTGAGAAGACAGTAAAAAATGGTATAACTTTTGGAAAGTACATTGTCAACTGTATGAAGAGACAAATATTGGAATCATCTGACCTAGATATACTATATCTTGTAATGAATCTTAAGAAAATAATAAAAAATATGAAAAAAGTTACATGTACTAAGACATTCATTCCAGAATTATTTATGCTATAGAAAAACTTAAATAACCACATTTATGTCACAGAAGAGAATAGTAAATGATACTGATTTACCTATTCACTAAGAAAAGATATTCAATGTAAGTAAATAACATAGAAATGTATGATGTGTTATGTATAACATGAATCATGAGAAGGAAAACAAGAGACATTATACCTAACTAGCTTTTGGAGAGTTCTGCGTTTTCTTGTGGTGCTGGGGATCAAATCCAGCACCATGAGCATACTGAGCAAGTGCTCTTTCAATGAGCTACATTCCCCACTCCCATATTAGATTTTAAATAAGTCTCCTATATAGAACAAAAGAGATAAAGCAAGATGATAAGCCTTAATAAAGATGATAAGAATTGTGAATTTTAACTTTTCATATTTTCTGTAAAAATAATTTGATAATCACAACACATACAGCTTTGTCTTTTTCATATATAGTATGGTACTTTAATACAGAATACTTTATTTCTTGAAGTTGAAAATGCTCTATCTATTAAAAAAGAATAATTGGCTAAGCATGTAGCTCACTGATAGAGCACTTACCTAAGCATGTACAGGTTCAATCTCTAGCCCCACAAAAACAAAACACTATAGAATACTTTTTTTTTTTTTTGTAGTTGTAAATAGACAGAATGCCTTTATTTTATTTGTTTATTTTTATGTGGTGCTAAGGATGAAACCCAGTGCCTCACACATGATAGGCAAAAGCTCTGCCACTGAGCTACAGCTCCAGCCCCAGGATATTCTTTTTAAAAGTCAGTCTCTTTTTGTTGAAATTAAATGCTCTTACTTAGTAAATATTAATTCTTAGCATTAAAATCTTCAATAAAAACATAAACAAGTTAAACACATCAAATTTAAAAAAAAATTCTGAAATAGTTTTTTGGTAAACAGGAGGTATTTCCTTTCCAAGAGAAAACATCCAATAATTAAAAAGCTTGTTTTCATGGGTATGGTGGGCCAGCAATGTAATTAGGAACATCTGAATGACTGTCTTAACATGGCAAATCTTTCCTCCTCCTCCATCCTCTGAATTACCTCAGATACCCTTTTCTCACCTCATCTGATTTTATATTTCAGGAATAATGAAGAGTTTGGCAGACAGACCATAGTTTTCTACAAATAAAAGGAAATGTGTGTACTTTGGCTCTAAACCTTTTTTGAGGGCTGAGGTTGTGGCTCAGTGGTAGAGCGCTCACCTAGCACATGCGAGGCCCTGGGTGCAATCCTCAGCACCACATAAAAATAAATAAATAAAGATACTGCATCCAAATAAAAAATAAATATTAAAAAAAAAAAACACCTTTTTTGATGATGCTACTTGAGCTGTAGCTGTTGACTGAATTAATTCCTTCTTGGAACAGTTAAGATAACTGACAAATCTTTTTTTTCTGGATGACCGTAAATAAGAATCTTTCATATTAAGTTAGGAAGGAATTTTTTTTTTCCTAACTCCATGAATACCTTGTACTTTCCTATAAGCCTGTGTTGAAATTCACCTTTCATACAGCTGGTTCCAATTAAATTAATTAAATTAATTTTTAATTACCAGAAAGGGCTTAGAGAGCCGCATGCAAACTTAGTGATTTCAATGGCTTTTTTATCATCCATCAAAATAAATAACTAGAAGATAGATAGGAACTGTAATAGAACTGGCAAATCCCAGACTATATTTTTGTAGCTAGAGAAATAGTTAATTATTTCTAAGAGAATTTACTACAGAATCTTGTCAAGGCTATTTAAAAATCTTAATGGTTATATTTATTAGTTCTCCCTTTATTTTCATTATTTAGGCATATTTTCTTCCAGAAACCATGTTGCTTTTGCTCCTGATGTGTTATACTGACCTAGTTATCACACACTATCTATAACTATAGTTATCAGGTTCTAACCATGCCTTGGGTGAATGTGTACTTGGCAATTGGTAGTTAATTTCCTTCTGAAACTATTCTCAGGAATAAGAAAGGGTTCCAGTGGCCCTCAGTCCACCAATACACTGGTCATTACCAGGTAATAAGGGAATAATATGTTGGTCAAACTGAAAGAAACTGGTGATTTAATTATACCTGCTTCTGTTGACTTCATTTACAAAAGAAGAAAAAGTATATGTGTATTCATATATACTGATATATATACACACATACTTGTACACACATATTACTCTATTTAACCTACTGTGCCCAATGTGTCCACTTCAAGAAATAATTTGGAACTGAGAATCACTAATATCTTCTAAATATAGATCAAGACAAAGGATTCACTGGTGGTTTGTCCTCCCCATTGCTGAGGCAAAAGTTTTTTCCATGATATCCAATTGTCTTTACTCAGTAACTGGCTTTTCCCCTACTTTTTCATTTTTAAAATATTTTAGTTGTAGATATACATAATAACTTTATTTAGTTACTTTTTTATGTGGTGCTGAGGATCAAAACCAGTAAGTACCTCACACTTGCTAGGCAAGCACTCTACCACTGAGCCACAACCCCAACCCTACTTTGGCATTTTTTAAGTGATGGTTTTAGACTATTTTGGTAGCAGTTTGTCAAATTCTTCCTTGGCCTGATTAGTAAGCAATAACATATTATGAACAAAACCTGAAAGATTTACAACCAACCCTAAAGGCATTGATGTCCAGACTTCGGTCCATGTATTTCTTCTTCTCATATTTATCTCGAATAAATCCCTCAACAGCTCTGCAAAAAACTTATTAAGGATGAATCAAATAAGTCTCTTCAAGAGTAAGAACATAAAAGATGAATTTATATCCCACAGAGCATTGATCTTCTCTTTCCCTACTGACTCATTTCCCTACAACTCTTGCTTCGTTGTATGCAGTTTCCCTGACCAAAATCTTGAAATTTTATGCCTTAAGCTACTGGAGGGAAGCATTGTTGCCTATGATTTCTCTTTAAAGTGATAACAGCAGCAAGTGGATTAACCTTCACATTGTCATCAGAGGGACCTCTGGCTGTTCTAAGATACAGGGTAAATGATGAATTATCTCTTTTAAAGCCCTCAGATGAACAGACTTCAAGCAAAGCAACTAAATGCCCCTTAAAAATATAAACCTTGCGTCCCACTCCAAATCCTGATAAGTGAGTCTTCTACAGGGTCCCAAATCTACATTTAACAGGTTCTAGCTGCAAACACCAAAAAATAAACTTTAACAAGGTGGTCTACAAACTACATTTTGAGAAGTACCACCTTTATGAAGTTTGGTTTTACATCTAGGCACTGTCCCCTGTTGAAGTGATGAGTGAAAACATTATTGATAAGCTGGTCAACAAAGGTTATTTCTTTCATACAAGACATAAGAATGCAATAAAAATGAATGACATTTTTTTGAATACCAGGGTTCAAAAAAGCATAGTAAACTATTCTTTTTATCAAAAAAATAGTTTTAGTAACCCAAAAACTAGCAGAGATGTCACTTTATAGAAAAATTCACAGTGAAATCACTGCAGTTTTAATTCCTGATTCTTTCCATCTGATACTACATATAATCCCAACATCAGCAAGAATACATGTGCTTTTTCTGTCTTGATTGTAGGAAAGAAGAAAACCCACGCCTTTGACAAATCCACACAGAGATGGTCCCCTCAGGTCTCAGGCTTTGAATTTTGTCTGCCTCTCCCCAAACATCAAAGGATCACCAGCCTTCTAAATTGCTCCAGAAAAGATACAGGTCTATCTGAGGTCGCCGAAAGGTCTCAGGAAGGTATGCTTCATAAAGCCGGTTTGCCTTTCCATTGCCCATCTCTTGCATGCACTGCAATCAAAGAGAATACAGAAACGGGAAATGTCAGAATGGGAAAGAAAAACTTCTCATCCAGTTCTTCTATTTGCAGTTAAAGAGCCAATCTAGAGGGTGACAGAACCAAGATTTAAACTTGTGTATTCTGGTTTCCAATCCAGTATTCTCTCTACCCTACTAGGAATTCCAATCACTTGCTCCTACAGATTCTTTCCCTTCTCCATGGGTTCCTTTTATGGAAAGATTTGTCTTCCAAAATACATTTAATTCAGTAATAATTCAAGATGTTATTTGAAATTCTAAGATGCATAGCTAACAATCAAAATGTCTACTAGGCAGGCAATAATGGGTATTACAATTCTAAGTTTATGCTATTAATTAACCTATTCAGCTCTATTAACCAGTCAATGTGTGTTTCCCACTAGGTTTGGGGGTGTTTTTTTTTTTTTTTTTTTGGTACCAGGGATTGAACCTAGGGGTACTTAACCACTGAGACATTCTCAAGCACTTTTTATTTTTTATTTTGAGATAGGATCTAAGTTGCTTAGAGCCTTGATATATTGCTGAAGTTGGCGTGGAATTTGCAATCCTCCTGCCTTCTCAGGCTCTGGAGCCACTGGAATTACTGTGTGCCAACATGGCGGCCTCCCATTAGGCTTTTCAAAAAGACCCCTTAAGCCAGGCATGGTGGCACATGCCTGTAATCCCAGCAGCCTGGGAGGCTGAGGCAGGATGATCACGAGTTCAAAGCCAGCCTCATCGAAAGCAAGGTACTAAGCAACTCAGTGAGACCCTGTCTCTAAATAAAATAAAATGTGGCTCAGGGGTCAAGTGCTCCTGAGTTCAATCCCCAGAACCAAAAAAATAAAAAAACTAACAAACAAAAAAAGACCCCTTAATAGCAGTGAACGCTAGCTAAATCCCAAGAGTCTTTCAAATCTTCAAATTCAAAGATACCTCTATGATATATAATTTTCTTCATAAAATATAGTAAAGTATAATTTAAAATGTAACTCACCACCTTAGACCTTTAATGAATCTATAAATACAGTCTAAAGTAATTTTAAAGCCATCTTCTAATAAGAACACCCTCTTACTTCCGTCATCAACCTTAGTAATTAGTTTTCTCTGTAGCCTCTTCCCCCAACACAAACCACACACTCACACACACACACACACAAAAAGAAAAAAGAAAAACTTGTTTTAATTAAAGCACTTCAATGTAGGAAGGGAACAGAAACTAATGAAGCTACATCAAGATGCAGATCTTGGGCTAGCTGGACTCATTAATTTAAGTGTCCCACTCCCAGACCACCAAGCTAATAGTAAGCAAGATTTTAGCAATAAAATATTACTATAATTCCAGGCTGGGGTTGTGGCTCAGCAGTAGAGCACTCGCCTAGCACATGCGAGGCACTGGGTTCAATCCTCAGCAACACTTAAAAATAAATAATAACTTAAAGGTATTGTATCCAACTATAACTTTAAAAAATGTAAAAAATATTACTATAATTCTATAATTTTTGGAAGGTTCTTATTTTGTTTTATTTATTTATTTATTTATTGCTGTGCTGAAGATTTAACCCAGGCAAGCATTCCCAGTCCAGGAGGTATTTTTGTTATTTATTTTCCTTAAAGTGAATGCCTATATCTAAAACTACAAAGGTTAGACATGCAAATGCCAAGGGTCTTAAAAAGTAATCCAAAGATCCTTCTTAATGCCTTCAAAAACCCCTGGGGTCCTAGACCATAGAGTGTATTTTAAAAGAAGTAAAATAAAGGTGTCTTACCCTGCTGTCTTAAATAGAAAGATTAAAATTTTCTCTATTAAGGCATGAAAATTTGACATAAATGTTTAAAACTATCTTCATCTTGGTGCCTAGTTTGACTGACACTCATCTGAACTACTTTTACATAGATAAAGGGAGCAGCCAACTCTCTCTCAGTTGTGTAAGTACCTGAATCTGTTCTTGAGTCCACTGGTCGAGGTTAACTGATTTTACCCTGGATATGTGCACCCCCAAATTCCTGTGGATTCCAGCACATCGAATGCAGATAAACACGCCAATATTCCAGGAGGCCCATCGTGGCCCTGTGAAGGACAGGAACAGGACAGTCAAGTCAAATTACAACAACATTCAAGGCCCAAGGTGCCACACTGAGATTATCAAGCAAAATTTCTGCTAAAATGAAAGTGAAAGAATATTGACCACAATCGTCTATTAATTAACTTGGTTCATCCCTCCATGGATCTGCTTCTTCTTTTTTTAAGTGTAAAATTTTAAGTGTATAGTACAATGGTTTTTTGTATATTCATATAGTTGTATAATGATCACACTATCTAATTCCAAAATATTTTCATCACCCAAAAGGAAATTCCAAACTCATTAGCAGGCACTCCCACTACTCCCAACCCTTACTTCCCAGTTCCTGACAACCAGAGATCTACTTTCTGTCTCGATGAATTTGCCAATTCTGGACATTTAATATAAATTAAATTATGGACATGTGGGCATTTATGCATGGAACAGTTTTCAACACTGATGAGTGTTGAAATACAAAATTATAATATGCTGCCACTTACATAAAGAAAAATCCCAGGAGAGCAGGGCAAAGTATGACACATTCTATTTAGCCTGGCACATTACATGAACAGTCCTCCCCCAAGAGACTCTGCAAGGTGCTGGGCCTGGAATCAGTTTTCCAACTAGGAAAAAAGATACAGATATGGCATGCCAGCCCAAGGCTCAACCTGAAATTGAAAACTCTGTTTATCCTCTCATCCCCTGCAGGCCTATAAAATATGCATCCACATTAACTTAATAGGATCCTTAATAAGATTCTTGGGTTGATGTCCCCACTTCACCCAACTACAGGATTATCTAGATTCAAAATTCTCAAATAATGCAATTATTTAGATGTTTATTGGAACAAAGGAGAAACCTCAGAAATGAATTTTAATAAACTTACAGAATCTCCCATCCCCTCTCAACTTTGCTCACCCTAATAATCACTCTGGAAAATCTCAAACTTCTCTTCATAATTTTTATACAGGGGGAAAAAAGTGACTTACTTTTACATGACACCTGTCAAAGACATACTGAAAAGTCTAAATATTTCCTTCTCTATTTTTCCACAGAAAATAAGGATGATGTTAAAATTAGAAGTTGCAATAAAGAGATGGAAAGGCACTAACTGATTTTCTTCACTGATAAATAGGACCTGTTTGGAACAAGATTGCAGTTCTATAGTACACAATTATTTGACATGTTAGCTTGTATGATTGACAGCAATTTTAATGAAGTAATGCTAGAGTCCTGTGTCGAAAACTATTCATACAAATTTGAATCCATGATTATTATAAATAAGGATAGAATTGTTTTGACAAACAGCACTCATTTATTACAACTACTGGTATAAATACATGAAGGCTTAAATCCTTCTTATCACCACCAGGTGGTGTTCTCTGCCTGAAATTTTATCCAATACCTTCTCATTGCTATTATTTTGATAGGCTAAGATGTATCTTCTAAAAAGATCTTAAATCCGTTCAGATCCCTAGATGGATTCGCAGTCAGTTTTCCATATAACTAACTAACATGAAGACTCACGTACTTGTTTTCAGGTGGTGGGTGTTTTACAAATGAAAAATGAGGCTTGCTGGGACTCTACATATCTATTTTTGGTAATAGTTTTCAGAACTCTAATTAGATCTTAGTTATGTAAGATTTAAAATGGGACCAAAAGTTAATATTTCATGTTTTTTTAACATTTTTCTTCTCTCTAGATTCTATAGTCTAAAACTCTAAAACTCATGATAAGATAGTTAAAAGGTACTAGTTTGCTAACAAAGTTAAAAGTCAAAAATATTCATTAAAAGTTAGCTGTGGTAACAAAGAAGAATAAGATTATGGCATTTGCTGGTAAATGAATGGAACTGGAGACTATCATGCTAAGTGAAATAAGCCAATCCTCCAAAAACAAAAGCTGAATGTTCTCTCTGATATGTGGATGCTAATACACAATAAGGAGGTGGTGGGGAATAGATGTTCATTGGATTAGACAAAGGGAATGAAGGGAAGGGAGGGAGGATGGGAATAGGAAGGAAAGACAGTAGAACAAATCAGACATAACTTTCCTGTGTTCATATATGAACACACGACCAATAAAAAGTAAATCCACATCATGTACAGGAAGGGGAAGTTATACTCCATGCATGTAAAATATCTTGAAATATATTCTACTGTCATGTATAACTAAAAGAACAAATAAAAAATTAAAAGTTAGCTGTGGAAGACTTGGGGGTGTAGCTCAAACCCCGCACCACCAGAAAAAAAAAAAAAGCAAAGAGGGCCAACAGAAGTTAGCTATGGAATGTCATGCTGTTTGCTTCCTGGCCCTAAGTCTGGAGAAGGCAATCCCCACTAACCTAAGCCACTGTCACAATGAGGAATTTCTCTAGATCCTCCAGAGTATTTACAGCCTTCTTGCCCCTGAGGTATGCAAGACAGGGAAGTGATGCTCTGGAGTCCCTGACAAGGCCTCAACACAGAAATAACCCAGCAACTGTCCTTTCATGAGAACCCAGATAAGAGCCTACTCTGCCCTATCCACCTCCCTGCCCCCCACAGAGCCATCACCTGACATCCCTCCTACAACATTTTCCCAGTGAAACAGTGACACTTCTGTCCCAGATACCCATTCTCTTCTAGTTGCTAGTCACTACATTTATTAGTCAATAACTGCGTGATCCATAATAGATTCTGAAATTGGAGAAGAGAAAAAATATGAGACAAAAATTACTTAAGTGCTGGGTTTAATTGACAACACTGAAGAAAGCGAGAGAGAGAGGGAGAGAGAAAGTTACTTATATGGCTAAAAAAGTGGAGAAATGGTATATGATTAAAAGTATAATATGGGGGGCTGGGGTTGTAGCTCAGTAGTAGAGTGCTCGCCTCACATGTGGAAGGCCTGGGTTCAATCCTCAACACCACATAAAAATAAAATAAAGGTATTGTGTCCATCTACAACAAAAAACATTTTTTAAAAAAAGTATAATATGAGTTGGGCCCCAGCTACTTAGGAGGTTGAGGGAGGAGGATCACAAGCTTGAGGCCAGCTTGGGCAACTTAGCAAGACCCTTTCTCAAAATAAAAAATAAAAAGAACCAGGTGTGTGGCTCAGCAGTAAAGCACCCCAGGGTTCAATCCTTGGTACCAAAAGGAAAAAAAAAAAATCTGTGTAGCGAGAAGACTTAGGTTTGAATGCAGCTTCATTAGTAATTACAATGATAACCCAAGTGATCTTCAGAGATATACTTAAACTTCCTAAGCCTGCATTTCCTCATCTGTAAAATATGTACAATAACATCCACCTGGCAGGACCTGGAACATAGAGCAACAATAATGAATGAAAGCTATGCATAAGAATGAGGTTTCCAGAATCTACTTTCCATTCAACTTCATTGATAAAGGCCAGCTAAATCATTCATACATCTAAACCAACACTTTAGGCAACACTACAGATGGGGATGAGTTCTGGTCTTAGAATGTCAAAACCAAAATTGATTGTATGTCAGAAAGAAGAAATTTACCTAATTAAGCCAATATCTTCTTTACTTTTAAAGATATTTTGCTATGCACATTGAAGGTATAGACCATGATTTACATGATACATACATAATAAAATGGCTATTATAGTGGAATGGACATAATTTCAGTCTTCTAGAAAGCATGAAATTCGAAGCAGTTTCCTTTACCTCAAAATAATTTGTAAATGCACTACCTAAACCCCTACCCATTCCCTTTCTTGGCTACACATCCTCTGCCCTTGTGCCCACACATGCCCCCACTACACACACAAAGAAGGCCCAGAGCTGCCAGCCTTAGTGGAAGGTGCCAAGATTCCATGGTATATGACATTGCTGCTGCTAGGCCAGCCTACTTACATCTGGGATTCTTGCAGAAAGAAACCAATTGTTCACTACATATTGGTTATGACAACCAAGGAGAAAATACAAAAGGTGGGATGGAGTTGTGGCTCAGTGGTAGAGTGCTTGCCTAACACGTGAGAGGCCCTGGGTTCCAAATAAATAAGTAAAATAAAGCTTTAAAAAAAAAAAAAAAAGAAATACAAAAGGTATTTTGAAATTGAAAATGAAAAGAGAGGGGCTGGGGCTGGGGCTGAGCGGTAGCGCACTTGCCTGGCATGTGTGAAGCACTGGATTCGATTCTCAGCACCACATATAAATAAATAAAATAAAGGGCTATCAACAACTATTAAAAATATTTTTTAAAAAATGAAAAGGGATTCTGAGAGGCAATATTCCAAATAATTTTGAAAGCAAAGAAGATAGATAAATAAAATAAACTAGCCTAACATGCTCCATACTCAAAGCCCTGGGTTCAATCCTCAGCACTAGGGAAAAAAATATAAAATCAACTGTAGAAAGTACCAGCCCAGAGACTTGTTACATGCATTTGGAAATCTTTCTAGAGCATGTCTTCATTGGTAAAATGGAAAGCATATAAGTAATATGCATTTATACTCGACTTCTGGACAGCATCTACACACAGAGAGTAACTACTGCTGCCCTGCTACAGATTTCCCTTGCTGCTAATACTCCCTAACCCCACCAGAGCTTCCAGAACTAGAAGGGTTCCAGGCTTAAGAAGTCAGCAGAGAGAAGGAGAAGTAGAATTACAGATAGCTTCAAGCTATCAGAATAATAATTTCAGCTTTCTGACCTCCAACCTATAGAGTTTCAGAAAAACAAGTGTTTGGGGGGTCAAAAATAAATTGAAGGCTACACATATTTTGACTTGGCAGTATTGTGGAGCTACTGAAAAGTTCTTAAACAGGCAGGATAAGAGAAAAGAGAGAAAATCTCTTCCATCTTCCAACCATACATGCTGAATGTATTCTGGAAACTTCCAGAATCTATCAATTTCTATCTAGACTGTCATCTCTCACCTATAAACATTAATTCTCTTAGAATGATTTATTGAGTCCTTAGGACCCAGGTACCCTCTCAGCTGAATATTAAGGCTAGAAAGGCAGAGACAATAAAAATGTGATTTCTTTATGCAGCAG